GAAAAAAGAAAATAAATTTGCGGAGAAAACCAAGATGGCAGCATAAGTAAACAGCTGTACTTGCTGCCTCCCACAACCACATCGAAATTACAACTAAAATACATAACTATCATCCAGAACCTCGGGAAACCTGGCTGAGTGGAAGTACTACAACTAGAGAGGTAAATAAGAAAGCACATTGAGACTGGTAGCAGGTGCAGAGGAACAAAACGTGCTGACACCCAGGTGTGCTGCTTTTTTCATTGAGAGGGGGATGCAAGCTTCCGCTTGCTCTGAGCTCCAGTGCCGAGGAAGACTTGGGGGGACCCAGACACATATGGGGAGAAACGACTATCTGGTATTGGGGCAGGAATGTAGGGGCAGCTTTCTTCCAGACTGAGGTGCTCGTAACAGTCATTGTTCCTGTACTGGGACCTCCCCGGTGCAGGGCTGACTGGCAGCCATTTCTGTTTGCTCTTCACTGGAGATTCCCTGAGACCCTGCCCTACCCAATTTACAAAGCCACCAAGCTGTGCTTCAGTGGCTTTTGCATATGAATGGCCTGTCCTTTCTTAGCCTAAACCTCCCTGACCTGCAGCTGGGTCAGGGAGCTCCCAAAGCTATCAAAAGAAGGCCCAAGGCCACACCAGCCTTCCTTGCTTCACAGCTGGGCCTCATCTGCGCACTTCCAAACCCCAAACAAAGAGGAGGAATCTGCAGATCTCTCTGTAGCTCCTGCTGGGTGGCCTCAGGCAGTGGCTGACTTTGTACCTCCTTGGAGATCCAAGAGCCAGTGTACCCAGTGGTCAGAGTAAGACCATACCAGATTACAACCCTTCACATCCATAAGGGCGAAGAATCTGCAGATCTCTCTGTAGCTCCTGCTGGGTGGCCTCAGGCAGTGGCTGACTTTGCACCTCCTTGGAAATCCAAGAGCCAGTGTATCAAGTGATCAGTGTGAGACCATACCAGATTACAACTCTTCACATCCATAAGTGACACACTAAAGGGGCAGACTCCGGGAGCACCAAAGCCCCACTAAAGCAAGTCCTGCCCCATAAGGGTGTCTCCTGCACAGCAGCTCTTCCATTGTAGACACAGCTGGTCCTCCCAGCCAACTGGCCTGGAGATCAATTCCTCCCAGTGCTACCAACAGCAATCAAGGCTCAACTACAACAAGACTGTGCACACAGCCCACAAAGGGGTGTACCAAGAGTGTCCACATCAGGTGATTGGGGAGGCCAAGCCACTGGGCCCTATAGGACACCTACGACACAAGGCCACTCTATCAACTCAAGGAGACTTAGCAGCTACCCAATACATAGAAACAAACAGGGAAGCAGCCAAAATGCGGAGGCAAAGAAACATGTCACAAATGGAAAAAAGCAAACTACTGGATATAGAGTTCAAAACCACAGTTATAAGGTTACTCAAGAACCTTCTAGAAACGTACGAGGAACTTACTGAGACTTTCAAGGATCTTGGTGAGAATGCCAAAAAAAAAAATGGAAAAGGGCCACTCAGAAATTTAGCATACACTAACTGAAATAATAATATACAGGGATTCAACAGTTGAATAGAGGATCCAAATCTTTGACTTCATTTGAAAGATTTGAAATACGAGGAAACAGAAAAACACCCAACTGGAAGAGCAAAAAAGAAAAAATAATCCAAAAATATGAAGATAGTGTAAGGAGCCTCTGGGACAACTTCAAGCATACCAACATCTGAATTATGGGGGGGTGCCAGAAAAAGAGAGAGAGCAAGATATTGAAAACCTATTTGAAGAAATAATGACAGAAAATGTCCCCTACCTGGTGAAAGAAATAGACTTACAAGTCCAAGAAGCTCAGAGAACCCT